CGAACCTAAGTTCCCGGGGACTACGTGCGTCTTTTGCGATATAAGCGTGCGCCACCGGCGAATTACCTCTTTATCACAATCGCCCGAACGATTGAAATTGCCGCGATATTTCGCCGCGGTTCAAATATTTATCGTGTTTGCTTGGCCTCCACGTTGAATACATCGTGCACTTTGCTCGCGGTCTATTCCGTACCGCGCCGCAGAGCGCCTTAACTTTTCCCGCGAAAACATTTCGGGTTAAACATTTTCCGCTGTTGCTGGTCGCGCATGAGAGAGAGAGAGAGAGGGGGGGGCAAGGAGGGGGGAGGGGGAAAGAGAGGAAAACGCATAATGTGTACTTTATAGGAACGCTGTCGGAGAACACGGCTCGTATTACGAAGTCGCCTCATTTAGCAACATGAGATCTCGTTATACTTATAATTGAATAACATCGCAATGTGTATCCATTATTTTGCTCTTTACACCGCGCCTCATTAATTCGCGTAATATTCTTCTTCCTCTTCTCGACGGCAGAAACAAGTGCCCGCGCGCAGCCGGCGGCTGCCGGCAAATTGGAGACGCACGCGTCGCACAATGGGATCTAACTTGGCCCGCACTTTTCAATTTCGGGCACTCTGCTCTCTTCACAGAGATATTGATGTGCTCTCTCGCGAGTGCGAGTGTACGTACACAGCACCAACATGCTCGCGCGTGCATGTAATTGTCGCATTAGCCGGAGACCGCGCGATGGATCATTTAGCGTCGTCGCGGTAAAATCGAGCGCGGTACATCGCGCGAATGTCGGGATGCGGCGCGCGAATCACGGGAATGGCATGTGCGGAAGATAGATGTATCGGAGCATCCGTTCGCCGTTTTTCCTCTCTCTCTCTCTCTCTCTCTCTCTCTCTCTCTCTCTTTCTCTCTCCCCCCTCCCCTCCCTTTCTCTCTCTCTCTTTCTCTGTCCTCGAAACGACCGCTTTGACGATCGCCGCCGCGGTGTGACTGCGTAATAGGCAGCATCCGTTACAAGGGCTGCTTTCATTTGCAGATACTTTTAAGACCGGCAACGTCGTAAAAGTTATTGGCATGTTAACTCCGCTCTTACACGCTTTATCTTCGGCATTTATAGAATGCGCGAGTTACGATCACGTGTTTATCGTTGGCGCGGGGCCTCTCCTTGGCGCTTCAGACGCAACGCCTCCTCCTGCGATACTGCGCGAAGCTACAATTACTCGCGCTGCTTTACGACATCTTGAGCGCGCACTCGCGTGGAACTTTGCAAGGAACGCGTGCGAGACTCGCGGAGATGCGTTTTTGCAGCAATTGTCGAATCGCGTCTCAATTCGCGCGCTCCTTTTCCCTAGCGAGACTTTTTTACATAACGGCTGACCGGCAGCGGAAGAGGCTGCTTCGCAAGTGTTGGGAAATTCGCGCGCGCTGCTTGGTGTGTGCTGTTAGATTCAGCCGAGATTAAGTAAAGGTGCACGCCAATCAGATTTATCAGAGTTTTCCGGAGTCGCGAAGCAGCTTGCTCTGCTAGGCGCCGAGGGGCAACGATCTTGAGAGGAAATTCACCAATGTGTAATTTTATGACTGATATCGGGACCTCTTTCTCTCTTGAAATTATTTCATACGTGAGATTTTTCCCTTTCTGGAATCGAGCACGCGCGGCGTGCTTCCTTTCTTTTCTGCGCAAAGTTGCGACTAAAAGTTCCCATCACGTGTGCGCGCGGGGCGTACGGCGATGACAATGATAGGTGTAATGGCGAGGAATATTATGTTCCCGTGTCAAACAACAAGAATTGCACGCTATCGCGAGCATGCAGCCGGGGACATTTGTCGATAAATCAAATCGCAGGGTCACGTTCGACTTTCGGTGGCGCCCGGCGGCGTCGTGACGCACGACACTCGCCGCGTGGCCTATTTCCTACGAACGATTTTCCGCGAATTGTCTCCATTGTGTCGAATTATCGACTCGGATGAAGATGGGTGATCCACCACGAAGACGGTTCATCCGAGTCGCTTAGCGGACCCCCCGCGACGGCGGGGGGTTTAGAGGCAGCGAGAAAGGCACTTGCGAGAGAGGGCTACGGAGGCGATGGAGAAACGTCGCGTTGTGGAAGGAAAAAGTGCGAGATTTTAGGATGTCGTTGTTGACGTTCTGGAAAGCGAACGCACGATACATTTTTTAAGCGACCCACAGCCAGCTCGAGCTTCGCCTCGAGCCGGCGTTCTCGGACGCGGCCGAATAAACGCGTGAGAAGGGTTTGAAGAGGGACGAGACATGAGGGAGCACAAGCCGCGCTGTTGTGCCACGCCGTACCGAAGTGTAGAACCTGGAAACACGTTGTCCAGGGATTGAGGCGAGAGACGGCGGCAATGGTAGTGGTTGGTGGCGGTGGTCCTCGAGAGGTCGTTCTCGACGGTGAATGAACGGTCCTCGAAGCGAAGCGTGTTTGCGCGACGACCATGTTTCGTGCGTGGCGAAGAAACATCGAGCAATTAAGGCTCTTCTTCTTCCGATCGACAGCCACTCGTACATTTGTGTCTCTCTCGACCCTCTCCGCGCTCATCACGCTCGTGGAATTCTTCGTGTCTCCGGAGCGCCTTCTCCGGGCATTTCACGTTTACGATCGACTCGATCGCCGACAGTTAGTGGCTGAACTCAGTCCCGGCCGTGTCTTTTCCTCCCTTCGTGTTGCAACCGCGCGACTGCGACGTAGAAGACGCAGGAACGTTCTCCGGTCGCGCTATCGACTGCTTTTCGTGTGCTGCTCCCTTCTGCCCGTTCGCTTCTCCAGACGAGAACGGAGACATTTCGCCGAGCTCACTCGTCGCCGGCGATTTTACGAGCAACTTTTTATTTGTTTCCTTCTCTCTCCCTTTCATCTTATGTTCCTTCGTGCTCCTCTCAGAGAATCACCCGGGCGTTCCAAGAGGAATAAAGTCGCAGCGTGTCGCGTCGCGTTGCGACTTTGACCTGTTGAGCTAGAAACGCGTTTCCACCGGCGAGTTATCACCACGGCTACCCTCGTCATAGAATCCGCCTTATTACGACGTCGGCACACCGCCGCGATACGGCACGCCGACTCGTTATAATCCGATTTCATTGTTGTCGTCGTCGTCATCGTCGCCGTGACCGTCGCGTCGCATCGTAGCAGTTCGTACAAGCGAGATTAAAGTCGCCGACGTGGCCGTCGCGTCGCGTCACGAGAAGGATGCCGGGGAAATTGAGGACATAAAGGGACGTCAGCGAGGGGCGATTTTTAATTCATTCGCGACTTGGGGCACTGCCTGGACACCCGTTACACGTTCCCGTTATGCTCGCGTTAATGCCGGCCACTCAGCGTTTATGATGGGAAAGATGAGCCGTTTAACTAACCCTCTCGTGATCCTTCCATTATGCATTCACACGTCGACGATTTAAATGACTTTCCTAAATCAATATTTTTCCTCATTTTAGAAAGTTAGAAAAGGGAGAGAGTGTGTGTGTGTGTGTGTGTGTGTGTGTGTGATTGTTCAATACCGTTTCCGTGAGCGCCCCGTTTTATATTTCCATCCTTCTTCTCCACGTGTTCTTTAATTCCTCCTTTATATCTCTGCCGAACGTTGATTCGATAAATGCGTGTACTGCGCGACTGTAGAAACTGGATTTGTCGCGTTTTATCATTTTCCGCGATATTTAATTACACTTTCCATCGTACTGTAAATTTGTCCGCGCGAGATAAATTAATCAAATCAATTATCCGCTAATAAGCCGTAATGCGCGAGGTGTTTTTAATTATCCGTCTTGTATCGATTTACACGCTCAGATAGAAATATCTGCCGCTCGTTTGAACTCCGAACGAGAAAAAGAGAAAAAGACAGAGGTAGAGGCGGAAAAGTGGATGGAGGATGGGAGGATTAAGGATGGGGCGTCTCTGAAATATCCATCTTCCTTAACCCGGTAAGAAGCGCGTTTTCCGATCAGTTAAGCCCGACTAAACCTCAGCGACGTTCCTAAGAGAGCCTCGGAACGGGAACTAGGGAAAGAGGTAGGGGGAAAAAAGACGGGGAAAAGCAGCGGCGAAACCGTGAGAGTTGGGAAGGTGAGGTTGGGAAGAGGGAAAGGGTGAAACTCTTTCTCTCTCTCTCTCTCTCTCTCTCTCTTTCTCTCTTTCTCGACTGCGTTCAACTAGATAGAGCCGTGATTGAAAACTCCGCCCGCGGCGGCACACGAGCTTCGATTTAAGTGTACACACACGCGAAGCGAGGTATATATCCGACGCGTTCTTCGACTTCCGACCGCTGCATATGAAATAATGTGAGCGGCCGGGATTGCGAGCTCGGTCGGGAATTCAATAAATCTCTTCTTCTTCTTCTTCTTCTTCCTCTCTCTTGCTCGCCTGCTCGTTCGCTGCGCGACGAAAAACGGTCGGACGAAAGTTTGCCCGCCCGCTCGGCCGACCGGCTGACCACGCTCGTCTTTTTCTACTCGAGCAGCTCGCATGAGTTAATTCTCTCCGTGCCTCCATGGAGGCACTCTCCGTGGAAGAAGAACGTAACACGGTTCGCGGGCTTTGTACAGGACAATTGATACTATCTCGTTAATTGCGTGTGCGCGCCGAGGGTGCGGAGTATCTGATCTGTAACAGCATACGTCGTTCCTGCCGGCGGACGGTATCTGCCAAAACTTTGGTCGCGCAGTTTCTCAGACGAAAACGGTCCCACTAACGTCGCGATAAATATTAACAGGGCGCGCGAGCGCGTGCGTCAAACGTTGGCGATGTTTAAACTTAACATGCCGCATTATAACGACGGAGTCAGAGAGAGAGAGAGAGAGAGGGAGAGAGGGATAGCACGCGCAGCGGGATTATTTCTCTAGATATTAGATGATCCTAGCGTACCTCACGTGCTTCTTATTTATGAGACCATTTATATCCTCTCGCTTCCGTGGGTTATATATTTATGGCAAGTGGGGCATTAAGTCCTCGGCTCGTTTTATCCGATGACTCACGCGGGATTCATCCTTTTTGTTCCAGGTTAAGCTCGACAAGAGTCACAGCGGCAAGCCTTCCCGAGTCATTCATATCAGAAACATACCTAACGATGTGTCAGAGCAAGAGATCATCCATCTGGGCGTACCCTTCGGCCGCGTCACCAATGTCCTCGTTCTCAAAGGCAAAAATCAGGTATGTGTCTATCTCTCACGATGCGATCGAGTCGTATTTACCGAAAATCATTCAACTGCGATTGCTATTTCCGAAGCGATTGCTATACATTATGAAAAATATCGTTGCGGTTCGAGAGACTCGACCCTGGTATATTTGTTATCGGCGGGTCTTTGATCTCGGGGGGGTTCTTTGTCCTCGCGTGACGCGACGCAACGTAACGTTTACGTGTTTTTGTTTACGTTGCGACGTTGCTCAGTTCTCATCGCCGGAGAGTACTATGACGTGTACTCCAACGAGAGTAAGAGAGAGAGAGAGAGAGAGGATTTGTGCCGCATGAGTGACGCACTTCGCGACCGCGACGACGCGCATGGCCGGGCGTGCAATAGCGGAGACAATCGAATCGTCGATACGCGGTCGAATCGAGTCGACGATCGCCCGTTTAAGCATTATTATCCCATTATTACCCGCGCGCTCTGTTTCGCTCCGCGCCGTGACAAAGGCGACCGTGCTCTCCCCGATGGAAACGCAATCGTCCCGACATCGTCATCCTCCTCGCTCAACCCCGGCCAACCATCGGCCAACCACTCGGCAGCTCTCCAGGCTTTCTCTCGACGCTCGTTCGTGACGCTACACGCATCGCGGCGCTATTATTTCGTACGAGGGCCGGTTTATCGAGTTCCAGTTTCGGTTTAGCGAGCAACGTTTTCTATCGACCGCTGCTCTCGGCTCCCGTTCTCGCGCAATACGCTGGATGTGGCGTTCGCGATCGCGCTCCCCCAGTCTCTCTTTTCCTCGCTCGCGCCGGGCGTTTGCGAGAGCGACCTTCTCGCACGCGATTTTCCCTCGATTCGGGGATTCCCATCATCGTGTCCGGGTGCACTGCTTGACGTTAATACATTTTCTGTCCGTGAGTACTCGCTCGCGGGAATACGCGAATTGCAAATAAATATTTCCCCGGGCGCGCGTATCCTCTCTCGAGTCTTCTCGCAGAAAGAGAGAATGGAGAGAAATGGTTTGTTTGTTGCGAGAAGCACACTCTCTCTCTCTCTCTCTCTCTCTCTCTCTCTTTTTGTACTTCAACTGTTATCGTATCGTTACTTGGCGTCGTTACGACACGTTTTGATACATATCACTCCCCCCACTGCCGGTTGTTGGATTCCAAAGCGGCAGAATGACAAATACGGAGCGATCCTCCCGGCTAACTATCGCGACGCTACGATCCGGCTCTGCGATGCTAAAACCGTAAACCATCTGCGATCTCTCCCGGACTCTCCCAACGGACTCGATTACGCGCAAACGGAATTACGTTTACGCGGCCGCTCGTCCGCCCGCGTCGTTCCGGCCTGCGTGATCAAAATATCAATTCGCTCCGGCGACATTAATTCCGTGCTCGCACGTGCGACCAGCGCTCGTCAGAGGAGGTTAACGTCGCTTCATAAAGCTGTGGGTTTTGCGATGTCCTGTGGATGCCTCGTACCCCGGTAACGATGATTATTCAGATAACAACGCTTGCCCAACGCTCTCTCTCTCTCTCTCTCTCGCGGCATCGTCGCCCGTGTGCGACGTCAGCGCGATATTGCAATTCACGTAAGTGGTCCGGTAAAGGCGCGCTCGGATAATTCGTATCTGCCATTGGCGCTCTTACGTTGATTGACGCAAAAATTGCGGACGCGCGTGCATATCGCCGCTAATAAGTACCGCGATGCGCGTCTTGTTGCGTTATTATACCGGGTCGCCGTGCTTCAAATGGTCGACCTTTGTGCGACGTGAGCGCAAAAATGGACCGACAGTCGGCGGCTACATTAGTTCAGATTGCGAACAATGCGTATCGCCTCCGGGCGCGCGCGCGCGGCAAGTTCTCGTGTTCGCTCTGTGCTCGAAGCGCGCGCGCCAGGAAAGCTCGGATTCGCCATTTTCGAAACTCGCGAGCGCGATTCGCTGCTCTTTGTAATAATGTAATAATGCACTTGAGAGTACGACAGGAAATTCGTCGTTTCAGCGACGTTTTTGCGACGTCCGCTGAAAACGCGCAAATTGAACATTTTGAGCGGGGGAGATTTTAACGAGGATCGAGAATAAGATCTGCTAGATGGAAAACGCGGCGACGAGAACGTATCGGGCGGGATTCGATCGATTTCGATCGGTTTTTGTTTAACCGGCGAGCGATCGCATCGATAATATATTTCGTTAGCTTCACGCAACGGACGCTTTATTTGCGGGCGGGCCGCGATCGATGACTCGCTTCAATTTCCGCTGTCTCGCTGTCGCGCGAAAATGAGTTCCATCGCGGGTTACACCGAAGCCTTTTTCCCCGTTTCGCGCCGGCTCATCGAGCTCGCGCGAAATTTTTCCACGATGCGACACGGCGAATCAATGACGAATCGTCTGAAAATGGCCGTAGAGTGCGGTCGCAAACGAGCGTGCGAGCGAGCGAGCGAGCGAGCGGATGGGACGCGACGATGTGATTTGAGCGCGGACAGCGCACACACAGAGGGGTTTCGAAGGGGATTAAATTGGAACACCGAGTATTCATCATAGCTTACCGGGCAGGGAATATTTGAATAACTTGTAAATCCTCCGAATGCGTATTTGATGGCGCGCTTTGGTCTCGAATCCTTCTCCCTCCTTCCATTTCCCGGCTTTATTCGCGATCTCTCTTCCGCGACCACCCAATACCCTCTTTGCCAATTTGCTCCAAAGCCTCGTTGTAACCCGCCGCGTCGTTTTGGCCCAAAGGTTGGCTCATTACGTCGATAAACGATTGCTTCAAAGTACTCGATCGGGCCGAGTTTATTAATGAAACGCAACACTCGAAATTCGTCAAATACAAAACGTTCCACATTTTACACGCGAGGGCCAGCAGACGCGTAATCAGGAGAATCCTTCGCTCGAAGCGAAATCGCGCTCCACTCCGATGAATAAATGCTATTGCGAGATCCCGTCGTGTGCCATCACGCTCGTCGTTTCGATCATTTCGAGAAATTTGAATCCTTTGGGTATAAAATCAGTGATACACACAGAACGTACGAACCTTTCATCATCCGCATGTCGCTTCAAAGCGCATTGCCTAATCAGCGTGGTTAATTGCAAGCGTGCGCTTTGCGCGAGCATACGCTATAGGCGGAGCATCCTATTTGGTGGAATCCATTAAATGACTGTGCCATAAACGGCGTACATGAAACTCCTTCAAAGGGATGTTTACTCGTCGTCATTACATCACGCGAATCTTGCGGGGTAATTCTCTCCCCCCCCCCCCCCTCCGGAGAATATCCCTGCTTGGCCAAGCGGCCGAGAAAAATTCGACGGCCATTTCGACGTCGAAAATGGGAGAAAGGAAAGCAGAGACTTAAGAATTCAGTTTTGATTGAACACTCGTTGGCGATACGTGAAACTTTCGACATTGACCCTGCAAATTCTGTCGAACTTGAAGGACCTCGAACTGGAGAACCTCGATGTTATAACATTCTATGAACTGTTCTTTTCTGATCGTCACGAAAGATTTTACCTAGCAACACGGCTCTGAGCGAGATAGACCGCTGTATCTCGAGGTTCTTCGTTGACGCTTCAAGTCCGACGGTACTTGCTAGATTGATGCGGGACTGAAATCGCAGCTCGAGTACGACGTCGCCGCGACGTCGTACGACTCCCGCAAAGTTTCCCGCGTACTTGATTTCGTGCTGCATACTTGTTCGGGAAAGCATTGCATCGTGGTAAGTTTAGTTGCTACGTCATAATTCCACTCCGATGCCTAACAAGCCAGCGAGCCAGGCTCAACTACGCTCTCCTAATCGCGTATCCTTCGCAAGGTATCATCTCGTGCAAGACGCGGCGCTGCGCGCGCGCGCTCTCGGTGAGCGCCGCCAAATGCGTATGTAATTTGCGCGAGAGGGTAAATCTCTTCATCTGGCTCAATGCGGCGAACCGGTGCATCGATGCATTACTTTAATCCCTTGCCGGTATAAACGGCGGCCCGGGCCGGCCCGACTCTCGCATTATCATACCTGTTGTGCGCCACCATATTAGAGACCGCCGCGCCCATATGTGCGTGCGCCGGTCGGAGGTGTGGGGTGCGCACGCGAGCATTAAACGCACTCGCGTAATCTCGTTCGGGCGCGTCGATGAAGCCTCGGCGATTCGGCCGAAAGCCAGTCACAGGCCAGGTAATTTTGCCGCGAATCCGCGCGAAAGAGAACGACGATTTAATCGACCAGCGCGAGGTCGTCCCTCGAGATCGCGGACGCCGGCGATCTCCGTCGGTTCGCGCGATCGTTGAGAGCCTCGTTTCTTCATCCCTATTGCGCGAAAGTTATTTTTTATTTCGTCGGAATCGCGCGCCCCGACGAGAGGAGCGCGGAGCGATAGCGTGATTTACGAACACAATATAATCAGAAGTCGCAATCGTAATGATTAGGAAGTTATAGATAACAGTTGGAGTCATTAGCTAAGTTAAGGACGCTTTCTCGGTTGAAATTACGGCACATCGTAGCGGAAGCGGTGCCAAGTGCTGTATGTACTTGCTGTATATATGTGTGTGTGTGTGTGTATTTCGCAAATGCAATTTCCAAACCACCGGCGGCAACGGCGGCGGTGGCGGTGGCCTTAGCCGTTCAGGAATCGCGATTCTCCTTCTCCATCCGTTTTCAACGGCGCGTCCGCCCGCGGCGGCCAAGACAATCCAAGTAACTCGATCAGGTGGGGAAACTCGCGTTATTATCGTATACCTGGGCTTAAGCTTCCCAATTACGTGCAAATAGGCAGTGCGCTACGGCGAGGACGACGACGACGACGAGGACAATGATGAGAAGGACGAAACTCGCGTGCATTATGGCACGCCAGTAGTAAATCGAGTTTGACGATGAATCGCCGCACCGGACCGGGCTGACCCCCGCGGCCACTTTCTCCGTGTTTGCTTTGATTCGAAGTTTCCGGTTAAGTTGGTTAGCGGAACGGGCTCTTTGTTCGATACTGCAAACTACCCTCGTTCCCGCCCGCGGATTTTCCGCTCTGTTCGACGCGTA